AAAAACATCATTCTCGGGTGGTGGTCTTATCCTCACAACAACGGATGGGGAAGAACTACCACATCTGGAAAATTCAGACGCAGTCAAAAAATACTATATAAAAAGCTTGCTAAGTTCGAACCCTAAACGGGCGACTTAGGCAAAAAGGAGTGTCCCGGTGGATTGAAAACTTTAAAGGGAAATCCAGGCAAAAATTAAGGACATATACAAAAATCGTTATCCCGGTGGATTGAAACCCCGAAAGGGCGATCCAGGTAAAAGTTAGGGATCTTGCTCAAGAAATAAAGAACAAAAAGACTGCAATTTAAGAACCACCACTGCAACCATGAAAAAGAGGGATTGATCTAAATCATTCGACTCATAAGCCAAGGAGAATGGAGGTATCAAAAAGACATTGGAGAAACAGCAGTAGCAATTATCATTTTTCATTGTCATTTTCAGTTTTAAATCTTTCTGTAATTACCTCTTGTACTCTCTCCTATTTAGAGTCATATTTATTAATAAACAATCACTTTTTCAAATTTTCAATTGTATTTTTCCTTTTTTGACTGGTTTACAAAATACTACGATTATTTCTTGTGAATATTGCGTTGAAATCATTTTGGGGGATTTGACAAATAAAAGCATGATATATAACATCAAAAAGAATTTTGGTTAGAAAAATATTGAAAGAAAATCAATGCCTACTACGTCCACGCCTACATCTGCAACTGCGTCCACACCTGCGCCTGCGATACAAATATCAAAATCCTACAAATACCCATTCATCTTGTTCAAATCAAAATACCTCGATGATGCAACATATAACATTTGAGAGTTGGTAACACAAAATCAACAGTTTAAAAGGAGAAAACATAAAAATTGTTTTTCACAAACCAACATTTGGGGCATATACAAAACACTACCTTTGGGGCATATACAGACAAAAACTCGGTGCATATACATTTTGGGTTCTATATCATCTTAGGGCATTATGCATGGCATTGTACAAACACATCTTTGGTTAAAACTATGAACTTTCTTGGGGTTCATCATTGGATTATTTGATCCACAAAACAAGAAAATACCTTGGTTGAGAACAGACACAACTGGTAAACTCTGATCTTATCTTTGGTCTAGTTATCTAAGATTTGATTACCAAAACACTCTTCAAATATATATCCTCTAGATCGTGGTAGATATGTGAATTCTCAGGATTACATTGTTCATCCTCTAGGTCGTGATGAATAGTAAGAGTACCCTTGTGTCGTTTATCCTCTAGGACGTGATAAACACACAAACTTTTCAATAATTTATCCTCTAGGTTGCGGTAGATGTGTGAATTTTCAGGTTTATGTTATTCATTCTCTAGGTCGTAATGTATACATAAGTCTATCTTTGTGTCGTTTATCCTCTAGGTTGTGATAATTAATGCACAAACTTTTTCAAATATCTATCCCATAGGTTATGATAGGTATGTGAATTTTCAGGGTTATACTATTCATCCTCTAGGTCGTGATGAATACATAAGCATATCCATGTGTCATTTATCCTATAGGTCGTGATAAACACACATGTTCATCCTCGTATTGTTTACTTTTTAGGTAGTAGTAAAAATAACGAAATCTGTGATATAATTCATTGTGTTAGTCTCTATGCGGAAATATATTATCAAACTCTACTTTATTCATTCCCTAGACTGTGATGGATAGACAAAATATGTGTTAAGCTTACTATGTTAGTCTCGCAGCTTTAGTAAGTCGATTTTTAAAACTTGTGTTATTTACCTCCTAGGTTACGGTAAATATCCAAAGCCTACGATCTCTTTTCTAGGTATTGGCGAGTTATCCGCGTCTTCATATCTAGGTTAATCTTACTGTTCAATCATGCTCTCTGTCCAAACTCTAGTAGGATAATGCATCATCGTCTTTGCCTATTTTTCTGCACGCTTGGGAATATTGTGTAGTGTATCCTTATAATCTTTGGTCCAAATTTTGGGGTCTTCCATTATTTAATAACCCTCAGATCCGAATGTGCGAAACTTTGTATACTCGCACGCTTCAATAGCAGAGTAATTAAACTGGGGCAGCTGTCATACCCCAAATTAAAATTTAAAATTCTTTTGGTTCGTTTACACTAACATTCTTTGGTTTTTATAAATATTCATTTTTAAATTATTTTTCTTATTTAAAAATATACATAATAATTTATTTATATTTTTAAAATAACAAATGCTTGCTCGTCTTCATATGCTTTCAATTGAGTTTTTATTTCAAATAAGCAACATACCACAATTGGTAAGAAAGTAGAGCGTACAAACATGAAGTCATGGGTTCAAATCTCACTTGTTGCCATTTGGATATTTTTCTTCCTTCTTCTTTTTATTGTTACTAACTTTAATTTCATTTTTATTTATATTTAATTAAAAAAATCACAAAAATATTGCATTATTAATTTAATTTTCGTTTTTTTATTTATCATTTTTAAAAGATATTATTATTTTTCATTTAAATAATAGTTTTATGCATTTTATAGTAAAAAATCTAAATAAAGAAAGTTTTTATTTTGATTTGTTATTTTCATCATTAACTTTGTGAGCAAGCAAATTAACTTAGGAAACATCCAATCTAATTAAATAAAAATATTTGAATTCTAGAATTAATTTTGGGACTTTAATTATTTTATTCAATTATTGGATCAATTTATTTTCTATTTTAATTAATCTAATATTCTAGTATAAATAGATATAATTTCTACACATTAAGAGGAGGTCATTTTTTCATACAATTTCATTACATCCAATTGCTATCTCTCTCAATGTTTTGATTTCATAGTAAAGAAACAAAATCAACTTACCTCACAAATTCATATGACTACGCAAAATAAAGTCCATACACCATTATTTTCAACAACACCAACAATCTGCAGGCTATTCAATAGAAAATCGAAGAGGGGGAGAAAAAAATTGTGACAAAGAGAACATAAGAGCATAAGAAGAAGAAGCTGAGATCTGAGTTTCAAATTCTGAAACCCTAGATTTGTGTCCGTCGTCACCTTCAAGCCCTTAAATCTTCATCCGCCGTGCCACTATCATTATCATCGTCACCATCTCTCGTACCTGCAAATAGAAAGAAGAAAAGCGAGATCAAGCATCAGAACAAACAAAAAAATATATCGAAGGTAATCTCAAAACTTAGCTTAGGGTTTCTAAATATTAATCTATGCTGTGATTTGGGTTTAAGGTGGGGATCACCACCGCTTCAGGTCGCCACCTCCCATATTCATTTCCTAACTAAAGGACACACCCCCTGCTATTTGTGCTCAGATTTTTTTGGGCCTAAATATCTTTCCAACACACCCCCAATTTTAATATTTACAACCTCGCGTTTGAATTAATTAATTTTATTTATTAATTTTTCTTAACGTTATTTTTTTTCTTATTTTGTTTAATTTATTTAATTACCATATTTTTTCTAACATTTGTATTAAATATATTTTTGCATTTAAAATCATTAATAAATAATTATTACATTCTTATTTAAAATATTGAACATATTTTTAAGTAATTATTCATTAATCTTTCTAAAAAATACTAACCTTTCTTTAATCATATTAAATATTTTTCTCATGCATTAAAATATATTTTCTCATATTGCATAATATATTCGAAAATATCTAACCAATCAAAAACTAATTTTTTTTTTATTACTAACATAATTCAAACTTATATATTTTCAAAAAATATTATGGAAATTTCTGTTATCGACTGCTAACTTCGTCTATAAATTCCGCTATTCACACATCTAGACTTGGTTCAAGGAGAATTCGAGATATTTCCATAATCCATAAAAAAACTAACCAAACAACTGCAAACTACAAATTGAGAATACGATTCTTCATAAGAGGATACGTAGGCATACGACCTAAGAATCATGGCGAGTACCCCTAATAAAAATTAAAACCCTATTTCCTAATTTGTAAATCTAAACCCTAGTATCCTTGTGAACAAGGTAGATGAGGGGTGTCTAACACCTTCCCTTTGTCTAAAAATGAGTCAAATGATTTAGAATCTCTGATCAAATTAGAGTTATCATTTATTTTCTCTTCCTAAAAGATAAAAATTAAGGGTGACGACTCGTATTTTAAAATCGACTATTACAGCGTGTGCATGTGCGTGTGTGTGTGTGTGTGTGCGTATGTGTATATAATAAAATATAATATATTTAAGTTTTAGAAAACAAAATTTGGTTAAATCTGAAAGCATGTATTTGAATTTAGTCTTACTTCATTTATCACTTAACACAGGAAGAGAACATGTCACAACTAATCCCAGTCAAAACAAAAAGTCACATGTTAATAGTAATAGTACTTGTTAAATATATATTTAGGGAGTTTGTTTTCCCACGTATTTTCCAACTCCTTGACGAAATGTCAAAATGTCTTTTAAATTTTTAGAGATTCATCTTTGAATATATCATTTTCCCATAAAATAAACATAAATGAATGAGAGAAAAATTTATGGAGGTGTATTTGAAGATACATCTCTGAAAACACTTTATAGTATCTGAAATACATATATTAAATAGTTTAAAATGCATTCATAGGTGTTTTCGAATATACAGTTCCAGACTATTTTTTGACAAAAATAGAATGGCTGCTTAATTCATGAAGGATAAGGTGATTTAAGTTGCGTTCAGAGATATATGTCTGAAAACACATGAAGACAATATTTTCAGAAGTGTTAGTCACACCCTAAGAATAGGAAAAGAAATTCCATATATTTGATTTATTTTTATAATTGGACTCAACATGTTGTAATAATTGTGAACATAGAAAAAAGTTATAATCACATAAGTTGTCATTAATAAAAACTATTCATATTGTCTGCCTACTTTTTTATTTAAAAACAACATAAGAAATTTATAACTAAAACCACTTCGAACTGTTTTGCATTAGTTTCCAAAACAAAAATATATATAAACACCTACTTTACAAAATCAAATCATTAAAAGGGAATCAAATCAAATCAAACAAGGGCATAGTGTAATTTTCTTTCGAGCTTTACACTTATAATGGGATCCTCCCGTCCAAGTGCCTCCACATCCATAACAAAATTGATGACGACATCTGGAAATAGGTTTGATTAACAGACATAATAACCAAAATTAATCGAGAACCCCAAAGCAAAATGCTAAATAATATTTTCTCTTCAATATACCATATACCATATTGATCGCTTGTTTCTTAATTGTCATTATTCTCATAATATTTAGAGATGGCTCTATAACTAAATTAATGTGACATATACCATATATTCTAATGGATACTTATAGAAAACTTTAAAAATTATTGCCCAGCTCAATGCAAGGTTGTTCTACTATCCTCAATAATCAACACTGTTAATGGCATCTTATAATGCTCCAGATATCTTTCAGACCAATTATAACGCTTCAGACTGTTTTCAGAATTGTCAACTGACACCATAAATTAACACGAGTCTTTTCATCATGTTTTGTCGTCACTCACACGTTTTTCGAGATACTTCTCAGAAAGTCATTCATCTAAATATTACTCCAAGTCAAACCTCTTTAACCGTAGAATTCTTATATGTTAAATTATCGAAAAGAAGTTGCATTTTATTGGTATAGACAGTATCAATCAATCCTTATAAGCATTCTTTTAATCATACAGTCCCTTCTTTACACACCCTCACGACTCCTCTCATTCCAATGTGAATTCGGTGATCACTCATTGTCCTCTTCAGTTTCGGGTGTTACATAAACTCATCACCCTCTTCGGCCTTGTGTGTTATACATATAGTTAGCTAGAAATCAAGTAAGATTATGAAATATAGATATCCATTATAAATCCACCATTGCTTTTATCAATTCTCAAGTCTCTTTGTCAGTAATACTACGAACCTAACACCCTTAATGCCTTTATTTCAAATTTTTCATTCTCAATGGGTTCTAAGGTTAATATTCACCCCTCTCTAAGCCACATATGATTAAGGAAGTTCTTTGGCACCTTTCTGCCTTGAATTGGATTAAAGAAACTCGTTTTTCACCTCTAGCATAATTGCTTGTGATGTCATTTTTATGGATCATTTCTCCTTCCATATACCCTAGTTTTTCTTGAAATCTAGTTCTTGATTTTAACAAACCTTCTTTGATTCTTTGGCGCCAAAGGAATAGATAGGATAATTGTGTGATTGCAATGAATTCAAGATGCTTCACGGCTTTCCATATAAATAGAGAGCATAGAGAGAGCAATAATTTTGCAGACAAATTAGTAAATTTAAGTTTAATTTCTTCTAATTATACTTGGTGGGATGATGTGCATAAAAATTTAACTATGCATTTTGATAGAAATAGACTAGGGCTTCCTAACTTCAAATATTGTTGGTGTTTGAGATTTTTGGTCTTTGATTTCCCTCCTTTCGTAACAATCATTATTTTTTATATATTATAAGAATTTTTCCCTTTTTCTTAAAAAAATACTTTACAATATTACCAAATCACAAAAATAAAATTAATAATTTTAAAAAATAATTATAAATTAAAATGTAGTGATCAACCCATAAAAGGTTCACATGAAAATTTGATTTGAATAGTTATTCTTTAAATGTTATTTTAGTTATTTCATCATCTTATTGAATAATTTTTAGATATCAAAATTTCAAAAAAAAAATCATTTAATTTTGAAGTTATTTCAAATAGCTTTTCATAAAAATCCTTTTTGAAATACAACTTTTTAAATTACGATTTCGATTATGTCTTGATCTTTAATAATGTATGTTAATGTTATAGAATGTCAAAATTTATCTTTTAATTAAAAAAAAAGAATATAAAAAACTTGTAAAATATTTTTAAAAATGATTTTATATAATCCATTTTTTAAAATACAAAAAAAAAATCGTTTTTTAACCTAAAATAAACAGGCCCATAATGGTTTATAATCTAAAATAGATTTACACAAACATATATTATACTCTAATATTAACAAAAAAAAACATTTTCTAACTAAATATTTTAGAAGAAATTAAACAAAAATAATAGAATTATAAACAAAAGAGAAGTGTGTATACCTGCAAATAATGTGAGTACATCCATGAACTTTTTCAACATAGTAGTTGCATTTTGGACATCTTTTCCAATTCTTTTTCTTTGCAAGTTTCATCGTCAATAAATCTTCCCTTCCTTGCTCACTGTTTATCAAACTATGAAACTCTCTACAATCAACTCCCGCATGCCATGAAACCCTACATTGTGCGCAGAACAATCGATGACAATGTGGACATTCTGAAACCGTCACAATTTCCTTTGCATCATTCACCAACATAGCTGAACAATCCTTAAAGGGGCAATACAATTTTTGTGATTCTAAGACCGAAATCTCACAAAGTGTATTTTCCCATCTATCAAACACATCCTTTGGTATAATTGAAATACAATGATAAGCCTCTAAAGTTCCTTTGCAGCTTGGTTCAGGACAGTTTACCCATGATATATTGTCTTGAATTTTTGTAGTTAAATATCTTCCAATACAATCCTCACAGAAAGAGTGTGAACAATTTTGATTTTTGAACATTTCTATAACTGGTTTAGCTTCCATACAAATAGAACAATATGATTGTTTTAGTTGAGTAGAATATTTGTCTTCAATAGTCTCCTTATATTTTTGTTTCAGGTTTCTCAAGAGTGTATTATCCTCACTGTCCACTACTTGGATTTCTACAACATCCTTGTCATCATCATATATTGAAAACATTTCTTCAGCATCATAAAACTTGTCTTCGTCTATTGTAGAGGATGTATTTTCCTCGACGATTTCACAAATATTTTTCTTCAAGAAGTGTTTACTAATAGATAGAATGAATGAAATGAACTTGCCAATTCTCATGGATCTATTTTTGAAGAATCAAAAGAAAATAAAAACTAAGAAAATATAGCACAAATAAAAAATAATGAGGACCAACACTTAGACTCCACACAAAATTTGATATAGGAAAAAAAATTCCTTTTAATATTTTTTAATAGTAATTGTTTTGTTAAAAGTTTAGATTGTTTTATATTGAAGTTGTAGAATGTTCTTTACTTTTTAGAGTGTGATTGTAGGCTTTTACTTTCTTACTAGAACTTATAGTGATGTGTCATGTTCCTCAAAAGTGTAGGAATTTATAACAAATTTATTCTTTTTTTCCTTCATTTTAGTTAATGCATGAGTTTGAATGTCTAGTATAGATTGAATTGGAAGTTAATTTTGTCCCTCTAAGTTATTTAATTAACCAACTATAAATTCTAATCAAGAACATTCTTATTCTTGTGGCATATATGTGATTCTATTTTTTATTATTATGAGTGTGGTAATCGTTCTTCTCACTTCTCCTCTCCTTACACTTGGTATGTTTTTCTCTTATTTATAGTTGCTTTATTAGCTCCATTTTTTTATATTGATCCAATAAATTCATACTTAAGTCAAATATCTGTTTATGGTGAACCATTTAAGATCACAAGTTTCATTAGCTAAATCTAATATCTAAATTATTATTATTTTTTTTATCGTACAAGAATAAATGAGAAAAAATTTATTTATAAAATATTATTGATCAATTATATGTTCAATGTGAATTTATGATTCGTATTAAGATTATCAAAAAATATCTTTAAAAAAAAATATTTTAAAGGAGGTTTGTCGGAATACCTATTTATATTAGTGGTGGTGAATCAAACATAAAGTTTAGTATAGTAAACATACATTTTGGAAATTATTTTTCATATTTATTATCTTATTCTTGTTCATGTTGTACACTAGACCTCCAACCCAAAATAAAACAATATTTAAGTTCAATTTCATTTATACTTTATTTTTTATTAATATTAAATGCTGCAACTTTAAATGACGTGATAATGATGTTGAAAGGTACCTAACTAGTTCATATACTTTTTAAAACATATGGAAGTTCAATTTATGATTTTTTGTGATAATGTATTTACAACTTTGATGGAGAAATCTGTCTAATGTGTTTGTAATATATGTACTTGTTTATTCATAATCATGGTGATATATATATTTATTTAAATTACTAAATCTCTCATTTTTATATATTTATTTATTGTATTTAACTCACCAAATTACACCACTATGCGAATTAGGATATAAAGTGGGTGTTAGTTGACTCCTGAAACTCAATTGATATCTTTTCTGGAGCACTTTCAGGAGACTCTAACTCGACCCAAATAACATATGAACATTCCAAGGCTCTTTAGTTGGGATTTCTAGCAAATAGATACATGTAAAGGGCCATATAAGTCTCGAGGCAACATTTTATTCAGAAGCCAGCATAAAATATGTCAAGGGGAAATTTATTATAGTAGATGCTTCATCCCCCGACAACTCCATTATGGGGCCACCTGCCATTTTTGCATGAAATATATGTTGCTTTATGGGGAAGTTAGGTGTAGTTTAGGGGGATAAAGAGATCACCTAAGAATTTTATCGGGATAGTTTAGAGGGAAGAAGAAGTAGATTTCTGCAGTCGTTGCCCCTCCGCCAAGCGTGTAAGAATTAGAAACTGAAAGTTGGGATCCTATATTAGAGGCAGAAAACAAAAGGCTCAAACCCAGAGAAGACTTAAAAGAGTTATTGGTTGGACCTTTGGACCACCATTTCAACAAGCTAGGCCCATCCATGTCTTGTGTTGAAGAGGAAGAAATGATTGCACTATTGAGAAGAAACATAGAATTGTTCGCCTTGGCACCGTCTGACATGCCAGGGATAAATAACAGGGTGGTTTGTCATCACCTCGTCATTGATTCCACAATGAAGCTAGCCTCTTATTGAAAACACAAAGTTGGCAAAGAGAAAAGGCCAACCATTGACGAAGAGGTTCAGAAGCTGACAAAAGTCGATTTTATTACCAAAGTCCAGTACCCATCCTGGATTGCAAATGTAGTCTTGGTTTAAAAGCGTCAAACAAACGGCGCATGTGGGTTGACTTTCACTGATCTAAATGTTGCCTTCCCTAAGGATTCATATTCACTGCCCAACATCGATAGTGTGATTAATTGGTCTTCAGGTTATAAAATCCTGAGTTTTATAGACGCCTACTCTGGCTACAATCATATTAAGATGGATCCCTTGGACGCGTCAACAATAATGTTCATGTTTAATCATGACAACTACTACTACAATGACATGCCCTTTGGGATGAAGACTACAAGTTCCACATACCAAGGACTTGTAGATGTTGTGTTCTCAAAGCAGGTAGTGTGGAACCTGGAAGTCTATATTGACGAGATGATAGTAAAGACATCAGAGGGAGAAAATTCATGATATCTAGATAGAGGGATAAAGGAAAATTCAGATAAATGTTAAGACGTCATCAACATGAGGAGTCCACCCAATGTTAAGTAAGTTCAATAACTAACTGGGATTTTAGCCACCCTATCTTGTTTTCTTTCTTGTGTAGTTGACAAGGCATTCCATTTCTTTATCCCTTTGAAAAGGAAGGAAAAGTTCGAGTGGGCTAGCGAGTGCGAGAAAGCATTCTCCAACTTAAAAGTCTTCTTAGAACTATATAAAGCTCTGCACACGCAAGATAAAGTTTTTTCTATTTACTCTCACATTCAAACTACTTCTCTTTCATTCATTGACTTGGGTGCTGGAGTGAAAACTGATAGGTTTATCTTGCTCCACCACATCAAAAGCATAATTCACCACACTTAAACCCTATATCACTTTGTCATCAACTATCTCTGGTTCCTAAACATGGCAATGGTGCCATCTATGGGAATCTAACATCTGATTCCCATGAAATTCCACAAGAAACCATCGTTTCTTCACCTCAATTCGGCAAACATGTGATCTCTTTCCCATTTGAATCATTGATAAAACTCATGAAAAATATCAACATCAAAAGCTATTCAGTCAGTTGTTCAATACCGTGTCTCTACTGTGGCCACTACAACAATCAATATTCTCAATCTCACAAGAGAAACTTTGTTTCCTCTTATGGTTAAGGAGGATGCTCTCCTCGTAACTTCTCTTTCTACTCCTCCACTACAAAATCTAGTCCCTTCAAAAATCGGTCAAAACACATTCCAATATGAAACCCACTACACCTCACCACATCAAAAATACACTCCACCGCACATGAACCTTATCTCACTATGTCATCAACTATATCTTCTTAAACGAAACATTTTATGATATTCTTGGCCATGACCCTTATAGTGTAAATAACAATGTTTTGTGATTATTTTTTATTTTAGTTAATGCATGAGTTTGTTTTATCCAAGTTAATTTTACTCCTCTAAATTTTTGGATTAACCAACTCTAGATCTTAATAAAGAACAATTTTATTCTCGTGACTGATCCACCATTCAATCTTACTGTTGATCATGAAACTGTTGATTATTTTTTCAACTTTCCACCTTGTTTTTTTTTTAGTGGTTTTTTCTTAATTATTTTCATATAATAAATCCTCCTATATCTAAGAAACATAAGTAGTTTTGAAAACCAAAAAGAAGAAGAAAAGAAAAACCAAAAATGAAAAAGGCATTGAAACTCACCCTCCACCGACGACTTCACTTGCGATAAAAGACTCACAGATACTGAGAAAAGCTTGATTAAGCGATTTCGCACTTTCACCAACCATCAAGGAGACTTCAGGCTGATCATTTGTCTTTCTAACTATATCTTGAGAATCCATTGAAGCTGGAACGAAATTCAACAATATGATCAATTACAGTCACAGAAATAGAAACTAAAATTTCTCTGTTTAAGAAATTATTATTTACGCGCATGTATACGTAATCATAAAAGTATAATATTTATTTTTTAGGCCATTTGCGTGAAACAAAGAAACTTCTCGTAAATTACTATTAAATTACCGATTAAATATGGAGTCAATGTTCTTGTTTTATAGCTTACGTAATTTGGATAAGTAATAAACTCAACCGATTAACAAATATGATTTTATTTTTGTATTTTTAAACAATATTATCTCAAAAATTTATTTAAATTAATTTGAAATTAACTGTTCAAAATTAAACAATAATTTTAATATTTAGTAACTTAAATATTTTATATTAAATATTTTAATGTAATAAAAAATATATTTTTTGAAAATGATATTTCTAAAAAATAATTTTAAAATTACTTAAAATAACTTTTTATTCAAAGGTTTTTTGGAAATTTGTTAACTAAAAATAATTGTATAAAGGGATAAATATATAAAAATAATTTTTTATAAAATTTATTTTTATGATTTTTATTTGATGCTTTTTAAAAATTATAACAGAAAAGTAAGAATTTTTTTGAGAAAAAAAATCTTATAGCGGATTTTTATGGTGTGTTTGATTTAGAAGAAAATTTGTGAAAAGAGAAATAGATAAGGGAGAGTTTAATAAGAGAAAAAAAGATGAAAAATAAAATAGATTTGAAATATTATTTGACTTAAGAGAAAGAGAGAAGAAATAGAAAACAAAAAAATATTATATATTTTAAAAGTAGTATAATGCCTTTAAGATAAATATAATTTAAAAAATATAAATTTATAATTTAATGGACAAAATAATCACTTTATTATCTTAATTTATTTTTTCTCACTTTCTCTTTATAATTGAAAAAAAATATAAAAGATGTGGAGTCTACTATTTTTTAATCTCTCTTCTCAATTTTTTTTGCAAACAAAAGAAATTATCAATGTCTTTTTTACTTTTCTCTCATCTATTTCTCACTTCTCTACTTTAATTAAGTGGGACCTACAATAATCTTTTAATATTGAAAATAATTTTCTTTAGATACTGTATTTTCAAAATAATTTCTTTCCAAGTAGATGATATTCGCTTAAAAAAACTTGACAATGTAATTTTTTTTTTTCCAATAAATGACAACGTAATTATCTAAAAAGAAACACTTCCATTTAAGTTTCTAGGTGATTTCGTTTAAGTTTCTAACAGATTTTATATAAATTTCTAAATGAGTTTCAAATTACACAAAGAAAATTTTGAAATTCATCATCTACTATAATAAGAATATATATATATATATATATATATATATATATATATATATATATATATATATATATATATATATATATATATATATATATATATATATATATATATATATATATAAGTTCTCACTAATAGCCGATTATATTTTTATCAACTACATTTATATGTCTTTATAACTCTTGTATTTGATTCATATTAGATATGTTCATTGATTTTGCTTATTACCTTTACTTTCTAGTATGTTTTAATTGTTTTTCTTTACATATAAGTCTTTTTAATATGTGTTGTTAATTATGTACATTCGAGCATAAGTGTACTTGTTCATGCATTATTTATGTTAACACATTCATTTACATAATAATTTTGATTACTTAATTGTATGTTGTTGAATGTTGGTGTTGCATAACTATTTTGCATTTTGTTGCATGTAGCATATCTATCTGAGTTTCTGTATTTGATCTTTGTTGTTGTATATTCTTCTTAATTTTTTAACTCATGTATTCATCTGGAATTATATATTGTGGTTAGTTATTTGGTTTGTATACTCATTTGGATCTATCTCCTTTTGATGTTGTCAAAGGAGAAAAAATTTCATGTGAGTCTAGAATTGTTTTATATGTTTTATGTTGTGGTTTGTGTGTAATGTTTCTTGGAGACACGAGCGTTTTTTCTTTTTTCTCAAAGTCGACTCAATTCCAAGTGAAAGCTTGTCAAGCATAAAAAAGGGGGAGCCTGAAGCTGCATATCTCTAGGGGAGACTAAAGTTGCATGTCCCTAACACATTCAAGGAGCACCCTCGATACAGTTATGTTGTGAAAACGATGCCAACATAGTATAACATGTTTCTTCAAGGCAAGAAACTCACAAGATATGAACTAGGAAAACAAGAAGAACACAAGGAATTGATTATTAACTGTTATTCTTTACTTTCTCTTTGAAACAAGATTACAAGTGTTACAGAATAACAAATAACTTCTCTCACCCTAAATTAGAATTTACAGTATGAAATTATGAGAGACTAGTATGCTATTTATAATAAACCTAACATACTAAGCTAATGAGCTTTTTCACAAATATCCATTACAAGCTAACTTAGGGTACAAGCTAACTTAAACAATTGGACATTATACCCAATTAACCATGCTAACAAACCTAGCATTTTCGGCAACTGTATGATTGACCATACTATGACTACAACATACACTACTTCAACACTAGCATGTGAGCGATCTTCGACTACATGCTAATCTCTGTCGAACTTGTCGAACCACGAAGCTATCCAATAGAGTTTTATCCAATATCTCAAAAATATCCATCTTGGAATAAACTCTAATATTAGAGACCAAACTAGCTTTCTTTATGCAGCTTTATCAATTTCATACAGTGGAAAAACTTGCAATTTGGTAATGTCGGTGATCATATCAGCAACATTGTGATTTGTCCAAACCTTTAGCACTTGGACTTCTCCACGCTCGATTACCCCTCTAACAAAATGCAGCCTCACATCGATGTGCTTGATTCGCTCATGATAGGTTGAGTTCTTTGACACGTGTATTGTACTTTGACTATCACATTTAGCAATGATAAATCGAACTTGAAGTTTCAGCTCCTTAGCAAAACCTTTAAGCCACAATGATTCTTTCACAACTTCAGTGAGGGCGATATATTCCACTTCGGTGGTTGATAAGGATACAACCTTCTGAAGTGTCGCTTTCTAACTAATTATTGTGCCAAACATAGTAAAAATATATCAAGGAATAAATTTTCTGGAATCCATATAACCTGCATAATCAGAGTCGACATATCCTTCGATTACTATTTTACTATCTTCACCCAAGGCTCCACCATAAATTAAGACTTTGTTTAGAGATCCATTTATGTACCTTAGAATTCACTTTAATGTTTGCCAGTGAGCCTTTCCAAGATTCACCATGTACCTGCTTACAAGACTTACTGCATATGATATGTAGGGTCTAGTACAGACCATAGCATACATCAAAGAACCTACTATATTAGCATATGGGGTGCTATTAATATAAGCTCTTTCGACATCAGTATTGGGACACTGATTGATAATCAGCTTGAATTGAGGATTTGTCGGAGTCACAACAAGCTTTGAATTCGAAATACCAAGCTTGTTAAGAATCTTACCTAGGTATGCCTCTTTAGATAAGTATAATTTTGACTTCTTTCTATCTCTTCGGATGTCAATCCCAAGAATCTGGGATTCTTCTCCATGATCCTTCGTATCGAACTCCTTATTGAGTTCAACCTTCACCTTCATTACATCCTCGACATTGTTGCTTGCTATGAGAATATCATCCACATAAAGCATTAAAATAACAAATGAGTTACCAGGTTGAAATCTGAAGTAAACACAGTGGTCGAACTGACTTCTAATGAAACTTATGCATGCCATGAACCTGTCGAATCTCATATTCCACTGTCAAGGAGATTTTTTTAGTCCATATAAAGATTTATTCAGCTTGCACACATAATATTCCTTCCCCTTTTCGACATACCCTTCAGGTTGCCTCATCAGGATTGTTTCATCTATATCACCATACAAGAACACAGTCTTCACATCCATTTGTTCTAGTTTAATGCCGAATTATGCCACCATGGAAAGCAACATTCGAATGAATATGTGCTTCACAGAGGGAGAGAATACATCGTTGAAGTTGACACCTTCTTTCTGATTGAAACCCCTTACGACCAATCTTGCCTTGTATCTTTTTGACGCCACTCCTTCGATTCCTTCCTTAACTTTGAAAATCCACTTACATTTGACTAACTTGGCTCCAACAGGTTTCTTGATCAGTTCCCAAGTGTTGTTATCGTGAAGAGATTTCATCTCATCATCCATGACCTTCAATCATTCAGTATTATTTCGACTCTTCGTAACTTCCTTATGATCTCTAGGTTCTTCTTCTAAAACTTCACTTGCAGAGATTAAGGCATAAGCTATAAGATTTGCATACCTAAGTCTTTGAGGTGAGTTGATGACTCTTCTCGGCCTATCTCTTGCCAATAGGTAGTCATCGACAGTTTCCTCAACTTCCTCAGCATCTTATTCTTTGAATTCATTTGGGATACACAATTCAGTATCAACATGCTCCACCTCAACGGGAATATTTCCCTGTTCCAGCTCTTCGTCATATATTTATGCACTTAGACCAACATCATTAGTTTCCTTGAAATCCATTTCAGATTCATTGAAAACTACATCTCGACTGGTGATACACCTCATGTGACCTAGCTCTAGGAACCATAGCCTATAAGATTTGACTCCATCAGGGTATCCCATGAACATGCATCTCAGAGCTCTAGGTTCGACCTTGTCTTTCCTAATGTGAGCATAGGCTACGCAACCAAATACTATAAGTTCATCGAGATCTGGTGGATCAGGTGTCTTCATCTCTAATGCAGTCGAAAGACATATGTTTATTATATATGTTGTTGTCGAAACAACCTCAGCCCAAAACACCTTATTTAACCCAGAACTAGTCAACATGCATCTAAATCTCTCCAAAATCGTTCGATTAAACCTTTCAGCCAAACCATTTTTTTGTGGAGTACTTGCAGTAGTTTTCTACCTTGTAATACCAGAGGCAACACAAAAATTGTCGAAAGCCTGATTACAAAATTCAAGGCCATTGTAGGTTCTCAACCTTTTGACCTTTCTGCC